GAGAACTTGTTTACATGCCACAATATACGACCGAGAGTCAAAGTTCGATAAATCTGTACTATATAAAACTAAGTGTTTTTTATGCTATGCATTTATGATATGACATCATCTGCACAAAATGAATTCCATAAGACAAATATAAAATCAGTTCGAAGTTATTTCGATAGCACCTAGGATAACAACTGAACTAATGTATCAACGTTATTTTTTTCTTACGAACCACAAGTTTTTTTATGCTGATATTTTCAAAGGTGATTGCTCACAATAAATCGATAAAATGATCAAGGTTTAATCTCAAATTGAAACACCAAAAGATATTATTTCATTGTTTTAATAAGCAAAAAAAAACAACTTTCTCTTCTTTTTTTTTACTTTATTTTTAATCACGTCTGACCAAAAACCGTGATGACTCGACGTAGATGTAAACCTTCTCTTGAGCCACATTCTCACTGTACAATCACATCCACATCATCTGATGAGTTAATAAAACATATCGATGCCAAAGAAAATGAAGTGAACGAAAATATGACATCCAGTGACTGAATAATGGTGGTGAAACAAGAATGAACGAAATGAATCCGTCATGAATTGAGCAAAGTACAACAAAAGGTTTTTTAATGTAACTTCACCACTGATGCCTTCAGTTGTAAGGTACTAACGAAAGTCGTTGAACTTGAAGCGAGATTCAACAATGTCATTAAAGAGAAAAAAAACTCTTCTTCGAAAATTTCCCATTCTTTTTAGTGTTTGATAGCTAATTCAATTGTCAAAACTAATCGATAATAATTATAAAGAGTCAAATATAATTAAAAATCAACAATTATCAAATATAAAAGTTGTTTATCTTTATTTTCAGTTACGATATGATTTTAATTGCTCATCAACAACTTAAGCATTGATTGTAGTGAAAGAAAATATGAAAAATTACCTAAATCCATATATAAAAAAAAATAAAAATATGTATCCTTCTTTATTTTTTTAAGTATAAGTATGAATCGAAGCGTAAGTCAGTATCCTAACAAAAGCGTCGTTCAAAAAATGACATCCTCCATACAGTTAGTGAGAACGTTGCGATGTATGATTTTAACACTTTTATATATTTACAAGTTTAAGATTTGACTTTCATACGTTACTGAATTACAGAAACACATAAAGCTGTTTTGCTGTTCGTGGGAGTTCATGGGTACATTTTTTGCGGAGTCAGGGTCAAAGTGACGATAACGTTGGTGAGAGTCGACGATGTGCATACAGGTAAAGAGAAAATATTAATCTAATCCACATCTTCTTATCTAGCTCTCGCTCTTTTCTCTCACCGTTAACTTTGCGAAAGTGATTTGCGTGTTAGTTTCTGTCGATTAGTACTTTACTGCTCAGATAGATACGGATCTCATTGTTACATGTAGAGGCACAGAATTTGATCATCTTCTCTATCGTGCAAGAATGAACATGTTTCGACTGAAGTGACTGTCAAAACAACGTACAGGGACAGACTTGTTCAAAACACTCTATGTATATTTCATTTTTCTGCACACAATTTCTAACTACAGTGCACAAAATTTCACACTTTCAAATAACTATAGTCTGATGAGTTAATGTTTGCGGCAATGTTCGCAATCGAGTTCATCTGGATGATGATCAGGTCCACCACCATGACATTTGTTTTCTCCTTGACCGATGCCACCTGTCCAACTAGGTCCAGTCATACCTGTTTGAGCCTTATCATTGGTTGTATCACCGCTCAGAGTACTTTTGGGCGGCTTCTCTGTCTTTGATTGATGATCGTTCGTATGAGTCCCTTGCTTTTTTGCGACTTCTTCATCGAGATCATGAATAAAAGATTCCATCTTGTTATACGTTTGTAGTGAGACAATGTAAAAATGAATGAATGTCGATGCAAACGTCTATTTATACTTGCACATACTCTCTCAGCGAGAGAAATGGCGTACAAATCAACGAGGCACAATGGCGCAGTGAAGAAAAAGAAGCATCGAGAAGCAACTACCCATTACTTCTTAACAGCACCATTGTGCTTTGTTCTGTTCTGTTCTTTAAAAGAAAAAAAAGAAAAGGGCAACAAAACATCTGTTCTCTTCTTTTCTTTTCTTCCCTTCAGCAACTCTGTGTTAGGAGTGACTACTGCCCGCATGAGAGCTATGTCGTAAATGAGAGAAACCCTACTGACGAAGGGTAACTGAATTTCGTCTAACAGTTACTTGAACGAAGGTCAAGATATTTCGCGTATAAGACGAATCATATTTGTAGAGATAAACGAAAAGTACAAATGTTATGATAGTCACTACTATTGGATAATGACTGTACCGATATGTGCACTGTATGTACAGTAAACTTCTCCTCATCATGTATATGTCGTCTTCAGTCTTATTATATATGATTCTTTTTTGTGGTTGACGCATATTTCGAAATAGATATCTTAAAAGTTCTTCTTTACAGTGATATAGTGACCATCGACTCTTATTTAATTAGTGGGCATGATGATTATAAATCTATACAGAAATATTATGAAATTTTATTAAAGAAATTAAACTTATCACTGTAGATTATTTCATATCTTGTTGGATTAGATTTAATTGAATATTATAAAAATAATTATAAATCAGTATTAGAAAAAATAGAGAATGTATGCAATCAAGATAATCCATAAGAGATGAATAACAATCGTATGATATCACATTTCTAAAGAAAAAAAAATTACTTTAGCGATATGTATATTTATGAAAACATGATACATATAAATAGATACATTTCAACAAATTTGAATGATTACGACAAGCGTAACGGGATTTATGTATTGACGAACATACTGAGATATGATAGAGAAAATAATAATATGCATGATTTCATCGATAAAAATCGAAAGGTACTTGATGGTAATCCTATTTCGAGGTTCTTTAACGAGCAATATAAAATATATGCCTTATATACTTAGATTGAATTGAATGATCATTATTTGGTGTTTATGTCTCTCTCGATTATGCATTTAAATGTTATAAAGAAATAGTTCAATTCGAAGTAAAATGTGCAATTATGTTTATGAAGTTTTAGATAAAATTAAAAAATCAAATAATAAAATTTGGAAAATTTAGTTATGTATTGGATTCAAATGTGATTTAGATAAATATCAGGAAAATTATCATGATTATAATCCTATAATAAACGAGAATTATTATGTTTGTTAAAAATTATATATAAGAAAATATTGAGTATTCTTTTAAATAAAACCATCCGAAATATTTCTCATTCATTTACAAATTATTAAGATAGATCATCATAGTTGAATTCATAAATGTGTGGATATCATCTATGCAATAAAACAATATCTATATGAAGTTGCATCGTTCATTATATCAATAATCATTTCAGATGTCAAGAATCAATCTAAAGTAGCCTATCATTTAACAATGTATATACCACTTGAGCAACGACTCAAGTATTCAAACGATTTTTTAAAATTGACATTTCAGGTAATGAAACAGACATTAATTTTTATGTATTTCAATTTCATGGATTAAACCGAAGATTTTTCATCAACATAAGCTCTTGAATTTGATTTAATTTATTACAGTTATTTTATCAAAATTGCCGTTTTTGTTATCAAGGAAGTTGAAATAAATATCTGTTTGTTCTTATGAGACATGTTAATACTTTAAGTTATGCTTCAGCAGAAGAAATTGTAATAATTTGATATTATTAATGATTATTGTGTAATCAATTGAAATAAAAATGAAATAGAAAAAGAAGAGCTTGTACTGGTTATGAAAACAAGAGAAATTTCCAAATGGTAGTGTTCTTTTTGTTTTACGATTGTTGATGTAAAAATTTTTAACAAAGACTCAATGCAAAATCGCATAAACGGAATTCTATTTCTATATCTTTAAATCGATCGAAGTCGGCATTATCTTTTCTAATTTTACCAGAATAGTTATATAAAATTAGAAACTTGCTCAGAAAATTTTACATAAAATTGATTAGATATGATAGTCAATGAATGAAAGGTCAATGAAATATTTTCACTTGAGATCAAGAAAATAAAAGATACGTTGGAATTCGTTTTTATATAGCGAATAGTTCACCTCTTATTGAATTTTTGTAAATCGATTTTCTTTCAAAAATAATTTTACTTCATATAAAGCTTGATTTTAAAAAACATTTCAATTTTGATATTTCATCTGATCTTGAATATGAGTCTCGCAGCATGGCATCTATACTTTTCTTGCTGAGTGCGTATGATTTTTAGTTCTGAAGAATCTTACGCCTATTTCTAACTAGCATGAAAAGCAAGAAAGTTTCTTGCAATCGTGATCATTGCAAATTAAGAAAAAAAGCATTTAAAATGATTAAAATCAAGCAAACGAATATGGGATCAAGAAAATCAGGAAAGAAAAACGTTACTATTGCTATTCTAAACTCATCGTTACGAATATTTTATTATTACTTAAGGATATAATGTGAAACATCGATAAAAACATGTTGATATTGTTTTTATAATGTGGAATCATTAGTTGTAAACTCTTTGACTACCCATATTGCATATTGTATAAAATGATTCATGAAAATATTTGAAAATATTAAAAAGTAGGAGTAGTGTCACATATCCAAGATTTTGGAGATGCCACCGCATCTCCCGCGGGAGGTGCCGCATCTCCAGCGGGAGACGCGGCACCCACACTCGGTGGATGAGGTCATTCAGCACTGGGG